GGAACAGTACACATAATCGATAGGTATCATTTCCATCTATGCTTTATACCATGTGTTTTGTAAACAGGCAGAATTTACCATAAACACTCCACTGGCCCTTATTCTATTTAGAGAGTAAATAATTATTTTTTCTACCTCCATCAAAACTGATTTGGTAATTTGTTTTAATATCATTAATTTGATGTGCATTTTGCTGCAGAGACCATGTTTCATGTTTGGAACTGGGTGACAAGGTAATTTGACCCTTTTCTCATCACAATGGCATTATGGAAATTTAATGCACTGTTATGGCATCAACCACACCTAGTTGAACACAGGCGAATGCACCCCTTAAATCACATCCATTAGGGAATGAAATTCAACCAGTGGTTTTAGTCTATCAATGGAGTTTGTGGCACACTCACCCAGTGTGATCCTTTATGAATAAGAACTCTCACATGGTAAACTCATCATCAGTCTGAATCAACAGCTGCTAAACTGTGTGTGTGATGAAGCAAAAACTTATACACTACACTACACTACAACTTCTTCATTAATTCTGCTTACCTCTTCTTCTTGATGTGCAAGGTTTTCGAATTTTGATTTCAAACTACCAGCTGCACCAGATGCTGTGGAAGACAATAACACAGTGAGCAATAATGTTCTTCGCAAACGGTTTTCGGGTAGATGCACCATGCAGTGCAAATTGGCCAACTACAATGGCCAAAATAGTGTTATGCAAATTAGATGAGCCAGCTAGTACGTTAGTTTGTTAGTTCGACCAATCCAAAATTATTAGTGGATGAATAGGTGCAGTAGTTAAAAGGATGATTAGACAATTTACGCTCACCTCCCTGTGGTCTTGTTCTTTTGTAATTTGTTCCCTTCACCTCCTCCATATCATCAAAACTACCGGCCGATGCGTCCTTCCTTTCATCCACACCAAACTTACCACCAAATCCTTTGCTCATATCGACCTGGGAGGGATGCAGTTCAGTTTTAGTGGTATCTTCGTAACGTTTGGCTGATTGGTCCATTCTGTCAGTCTGTACACCGTACTTACCACCGAAACCAGTGGAGTAATCTGAAGTAGAATATATTTAATAGGTGATTTTCCGTTCAACTGCGAGATCTCGCGGGATGCATGAAAGATGCGCGTTGAACGTCTGCCGCAAAAATCGAACGATTTGATTTTGAACTCGAATTTCTTTATTTCGTAGCTCACATCTTCAACAGAGGAAAATTGCTTTCGAATACCCTCACTTAATCAAAATTGTCTATCATCAAATGTGTACAGCAAATTATTAAGCATGGAAATATCCCCCAAAATATTTTTGCGTTTGTCGAATCCTACGCGATGTTTGACGCCACTACGATGCTATGACCTTTGTTTGTCCTGTTTTTACATTTGATTTCATGGAAAATGGTCTATTTACTACTAGTACCACTCTTTTTGAGTTCATTGTGTACATAGTCTTCGTTGGATTGGTTATCTGTGGTTATAGCAACGTTGATTTAGTTTAATACTGGGGTATTATTATAGACAGTCAAGCTTTGTTTTAAAAATATATTGGTGTTCAGGAACATTTACTTATAAGTTCTGGTTTTTGAAAAAAGAAACTGAACTACCATATGTCAAAGTATGATCTGTTGGAAGTGATTACGTCAAAAAGCGGCACGATTTTTTTAAAAATGGGCAGCCTATCGGCTGAGATACATGTTGCTCTGTAATTAGGGAAAGATATGATCACAAAATGAACAAATCTGCACCCCTGTAGTATCTATATGTACATTATCAAAGCACTCAAACTTGCAGTTTTCAACAATAAGTTGAAAATATCACTTTTTACTTAGAACAAATTTAAGAGAGGTCTACCCAAGGTAAATATACACAAAGTACATCCATCATAGCAATTGATATTTTAGTTTTCAAGAAGAAGTCGAAAAACTGAAATGTTGCCGCAGTCGCCGATGGACAATTACTCATATGATAAGCTCTACTCAACAAAGTCGACAGCAGAGCTAATCAAAACTGAAAAGGCATGTTCAAGATACCACATTTAAAAAAAAAAACAATATGACTCTGGACGAATGGACGCACAAATGGACGCACAGACAGACAGACGGATGCACGGACGGTCGGAGGACATGTATCCTAACATGTATAATCTATGTATCAAATTTGAATGAAAACTGACAAAGCATGACCAAAATACAACATTTTTTAAAAACAAGATGGCTGCCAGTCAGCCATTTTGAATCAAATCGCTAAACCACTGCATGTGCATATGTCCCACATAAAGTACTAGTGATTAAAAAAATTAATTTAAATATTCAATTGCTAGTGATAAACTGTTCCAAACACGCATTAAATTGTGTTGCTGTATGTAAATGAATAGAATGCACTTAGGTGCTCAGGATATGTGCACATACTTGTTATATATTTGTTTTTGCTGAAAAAAATGCCAGTGTTCTCCCCAAAGCATTATAGTGTAGCAGACTGCTACTCTAAGATTTATGCCGCTATTCCGAGAGCTTTTCCGCAAAGCTGATGGGTTGACAGCAAAGCTGAAGAAATCCCATCATGACTGAACTAATCCTTTAAGTCTTATTGTCAATCTGTTACATTTACTCTTTCCGGTGTTCATTAATTAGCATAACATAAACAAGCAGCCTATCGGCTGAGATAGCTTCGCTGTTAGCAATGCACGTTTCAATTAAAGAACTGAAGATATCATTAAAAATTGAACAATATGTATAGTATCAAAGCAATTGGACTTGCAGCTTTTAACAAGAAGTCGAAAATATCACTTTTTACCAAAAATTACAAAAATATTCACCAAAATTTATGAATTAAAGATATCATCACGAAATGAACAAATCTGAGAGAGATCCACATGTAGTACCTATATATGTAATATCAAAGCAATCAGACTTGCGGTTTTTAACAAGAAGTCGAAAATATCACTTTTTATCAAAAATATTCACCAAAAATAGAGAATTTCAGATTTTGACATGAAATGAACAAATCTGAGAAACAACCATCCAAGGTACTTGCATATCAAATTTGAAAATATTCTGACTCGTGGTTTTGAAGAAGTTGAAATTGTGTGGTTGACACCGATGGACAGCGACAGACGACGGACAATCATAGGAAGTCGTGCGCTCTGCATAGGTAGTCGTGGGCCCTGCATCGGGCAACAAGCGCCCTGCATTCACATTTCCCGTCCCGATCAAATACATTGTATTGTTAGTTGAGTATTCAGTGTTCTCCACGAGGGGTTTAAGAGGGGCGAAGTGCCTCTCTTTAATTCATTTGCGCCCCTCTTCAATTTGTAGCACCCCTCTATTTATCTTCAGCACCCTCCTTTGTTTTTGGTGACATGCTGTTTCACAGTCCCGGAAGATG